TAGACTTCCAAATTTTAATGATTTAAGGAATTTACACATTTATCCTTCAACTAGGGAAAATTGAGATTGGTTTCAACCAATTAATCCTTTATGTTTCAATCATCCAAATATGTTAATTAAGATCAAAGGTTGCCCATTTTCCTTTCTTGAATTAAGTCTAAATGTTAATTAAGGCTAAATTTCAACAATTACATTTTTGCCCTTAAGGCTCTATCACTTCATAATTTATCAAATTTAATTCAAATGACTTTAGAATTTTCATCCTACCTTACTCATGGGTCAATTAAGACATCATAGGAGAAAATGTGATTTTTCAAATTTTAATTTAATTTACATATTTATTTTTATGCAAAAATAGAATTTTCCAAAGGAAATTCCATAACTTGACCAAGGAAAAGCCCAATCCCTTGAAATTTTTATTGGAGGGAGACCTAGACCAGAGAACCCAGAGAACCGTTGGACCAAATTTCATGATTTTCTTAATTTTATTTGAATTATTAGAATTATTTTAAGTTTTGGAGTGTTAATTAATTATAAAATATTTTAAATATGGAAAATTAAGTTTAATATTTTTATTAAATCTCTTTGAGGTCAAATAACCCAGAGAAACAAATTTCACATTTTTTTTTATATTTTTCTTTTAATTATGAGAATTATTTAGGTGAAAATCTATTTTTAGCCTGTTAAAAATTATTTTTAAGCTTTAAAATTCAATATCTTCACTTGTAAAATTAGGAAAAATATTTCAATTGCTCCTAAATACATAAGAAATAATTTAGAACATTTCCAAATATTTAATTAATTTTGTGATTTTTATTAATTTTTTAATTACTTAAATGTTAAAATAGGCTTAAAATGAAGTTTTTAATTTATTTACAATTTTATTTTTTAGAAAATCCCTCTAAATACAGAGAACTCTTAAAACCAATTTTTGTAATTTTTTGAGTTGCATTTTAATTATTAAAAATCATTTTAGTGTTAAAATGGTATTTAACTTAAAAAATCAATTTGAGTTATCAAATAACTCCAAATATTTTGAAATTTTTTATGTAGAGTTCTCTAAACTTCAAATAACAATAGTGATTAAAACCAAGTCTTTTAGATGTTTGTATTTCCTAAATTAATTTTCTTTGTGTTTTAGGGTTTCTTGAAAGTTAAGTGTGTTCTTAATGATTTGGCTCATAAAAAATTTTCCAAAGAGTTCTCTAGTCATAGAGAACCTTCTAAAATTTTATTGGATTTTTCTATGCCTTATGCAAATTATTATGATTATTTTATGCAAATAATAGACATAAACTTGAAAAATATGGATCTCTGTCTAGAGATCTTCTCTAACTTTGGAAAAATCAAAAAATGTTCCCATAACAGAGGCAACAACATGCCAAAATATCAAGTCATGGTGAAATGTCTACATGCATGGAGAATCAAAAGACTCAAAATAGTATTTAATTAATTAAAAATAAAATATGCATCAAATGAACTTCAAACTATTTCCACATTAAATTTATTCCACATTGTTCTCCTTTGTTCACCGAGCAAGTGGGGATTTTTATTTTATTTTTGTAATTTTTCTGCAAAGTCGTACAGTCCATAGACTAGTCACTCTAATCGTGCTAGAACTACTGACAACCTACGAGTGTCGGGGCAACGATCCCACCTTTTTCTACTTAAAAACAGGCGCCACGTCAACCTATGGCGGCTCCGAAGACATGCATGGCAGGCTCAGGTTGGACGCTGCCTTCCACGTAGCTGCTGGCTCGGCCAGCTCTTTATGATCCACGCTCCCATCCGACGCAATTAGAGCCCTCCATTTGATACACACGCAATCCAACAATTTTGGCTCCTCCGGCGACTAGGCCAGCCGGCAAGGCTAGGGGAGGTGGCTAGGAGGTCATGTGAGCCAGGGGAATCTGTCACAACAATTTATTTGGGCTTGTGTTTAGTTTTAGCAAAAATCTTTTAGGCTTAAGCAAATTTGGATGAAAATCCCTTGATTTTGGGAACCTTTGGTCCATGGCTCCTTTGGGTGGTTCCATAGGTTTAGCCTGGTCAATAAGATCCAAAATTTGGCTGTAGAAGTCTTGCCTTGACCAATTTGACATGGCTAAGTGAAATTTGGTGCCTG